AGAAGAGGTCTGAGTTTGGGTTGCCACCCAAGATGCTAGCATTCGCTGGTGTTTCATGACTTGAAGTAGTTATGCTAATCACACAACAGGTAGTGAGCCCACCTTGCCAGGAATAGGACTGTGTATTTTCAGGGCCTCTTGCCCACTCTGGAGTGGTGTGGAAACATTTGAAAACCTGTAATTTTCACACTCAGTGAAGTTACATACACCTGATCTCAGGTGGTCCTGTCTACCTGAGAGCCTTTTCTACTCACGCTGTGTCAGTGTAGAAACTACTCTGGATTAATCTTGTTTACCTCTAGTCCTGTTTATGTATTTATCATATTGGGCATTAAGACTGAGTAGTAGAGAATTTTTCATCATTATTATTACTTTGTGTTGTTTTGACACAAGGTCTCACTGTGTAGCTCTGGCTGGCCTAGAACTCATATAGGGCCATGCTCCAGCACACCCGCCTAAGGCCTTTGTTTTAAACAGGAGCAGTAAACCTCAGTACTTTTGTTAACTTGAATATCAGCATGAAGAGTGCTTATTTGGGGAAACATACTAGAAGGGTGCATTTTTAAACACTATTTTACCTGTTAACACACATACACAGTTTTAGTCATTTCCACCCTGACCTGGGCCAGCAGGCCATTCCTCGGTGACAAGGTTCTAATGAAGAGGTGCTGGGGATGAGAAAGACCGAGTTCATAGGGTCTGGAGGTCTGGCGCAGCTTTGTCTCAGGCAAGTTTCTTAAGCCTCATACACACTCTTCACAAGGAGAAAATGGCTGAGCTCAGCGGAGAGCCAAATCAGACAAAGAGGGCTCAGGATGCTTCAGACTCAGCTGCCTCAGGACTAGTAACCCAGCCCAGAGGGAAGAGTCCAACCTGGGCTCCCCCAATCCAGCCCTGGATTGGCCTTGCCAAGTCTACTCCTGGACAAGGACACAGAACTAAAGTTCTCTTTGTCCTTTCATCAGGGCATCTGGGAAAGTCTCGGCTTGGCTCCCCACGCCACCTACCATTTCTCCTCCTTAGCTCCTCCAGACCCTACTCCCCCAACATTTGCTCTTCCCAACTTCCTCTCCTCTTATTTAAAAGTAGATAGGCTGAGGTCAGTTGGTAGGGGAGGAGGGCTCCCCCTTTCTGAGAACTAGGGGAGGGAGAAAGGGGAAGACGTGGGAGGGGGTTACAGTCGGAATGTAAAGTGGATAAATTTAAAATATATATAATATTATATATAACAAACAAAAATAATATCCCTTGGGTCCACTTAGTGCTGCCCTGTGTGCATGGTCCCTGGGTGTGGGGCCAGCCTCTGGAGCATAGGTGTCCTGAAGGCATATTTTAATCTGTTTTCCTGGGTTTGTATACCTCTACTTCCCTTTCAACCCTTATTCCACCCTAATCCCTAAATGTGTTACTGTTTAATTTAATTAAAGACACATGAGGTGTAAACTGAGGTGGAAACGTGCACTTTTGTACATCCTTTGCATGTCTACTGTTGAAGACATCTAGATTCTTTAATTTTTACTGACTTTCTGTGTATGGGTGTTCTATGTGTACGGTATGCATGTGCATATAGTGCCCAACAGAGTTCAGAAGAAGGCGCTGTATCCCTGGAATTGGAGTTAGAGGTGGTTGTGAACCGCCATGTAAGAGCTCGGAATGGAACCTGGGTCCCCTCCAAGAGCAGCCAGAGCTCTCTACTTCCCCAGACCCTGTGTCTGCATTCTTAGAAGTCTGTATTTGGTCTTTATGATGCATGGCCTGTGGAAAACCCCATTGCCTGATCTCACTGCGAAGGAAGGAAGGAAGAAAGGAAAGAAGGAAGAGAAAAGGGTTGTAACATCTTAAAATTGGTCAGGAAACATTGATACTTGTGTGAAGGTCACTCTGCTATAAAGGCGCCTTTATCATCATTGACAACATCAATATCTTAGTGTCCTCTGGAAGTACTTTGGCTTTCTGGGTTTCCTAGAAAGTACCAGAACACTCCAGGGTTGTGAGTTCTAAGAGTCTTAGAACCTTTGGATGGTTTCCCAAAGATTTCCCCAAGCTTCCCCTCAGTTTCTTTGCTGGGCCAAAATAAGAGCTTGTGAGCTGGGTGTGGTAGCTTATGTACTGTTACTCAGGATACCGAGGCTAGCCTGGACTACACAGCAAAGTTAAATAGCAAAAAAGAAAAAAAAATGTATGTATTAATTTTGTAGCATTTATTAAATTAAAGGACCTTTTAGTCAAGCATGGAGTATATTCCTAGAAGCTGAGAGGCTGAGGCATGAGGATTGCAGGTGTGAGGCCAGTCTAGACTATTCAGAAAATAGTCCGTCTCAGAAAAGAGGAGGCATTCAGTTTTCTAATAAATAGTGAGTGCATTTAAGCAGGCTTCTTGAATTTAATTCATTATACAATTTTACTTAAAATATGTGAGCTCTGCAGTATGTGCACAGGCTCTACACTCAAGCATAAATCTATTTTCAAGTTTTTAGATTTATTCCTAACACGGGCTAAACCACTACATCCTGAACCTGCTCAGTACCCTACATTTTCCTTGCTCCCCACTGCACTGCAGTGAAATGTGTTTGCCCACCTCAGTTCCTTGAGCTCACTGGCAACACCAGCTAGAACTTTGTAACTCACTTCTCCATTCCCTACTCAAGCACCAGCTACCAAATCTTGATACACAGGAGATATTTAAAGGAAACTTTTAAATGTACCATAGTATAATTTGAGAGGATGTCTGCACACTTAGACATTTTGACTAAAGAGGAGCCAAGAGTTTAGTGTATCAGAGCTTCTACTTAGAAGGTGCAGGGCTGTAGAGAGGGCTCAGTGGTTAAGGGCACATACTGCTCTTTTGAGGACCTGAGTTTGATTCCCAGCACCCACATCAGGTGGCTTATAACTGCCTGTAACCCCAGTCCAGGGAAATCTGACACCTCTGACTTCTGTGGGCAGTTTCACTTGTGCATATAGCCTTCCATACAATTAAAATAATAAAAATAAATCTTAAAAACAAAAGGCTATAGAGGAATTTTAATTTAGAACATGGCTGCTCTGGTAAGAGGTCACATCCGAAAACCGTCTAGGCTTGTGTGATCTGGCTGGTATAAAAACACACCTTTGATCCAGTAGACAGAGGCAAGCAGAACTGAGTTCAAGGCCAGTATGATATAGAACAAGTTTCAGGTAAAGAAAAGCTTAGTTCCATGTGTAGTGATACATGCCTTTAATCCTAAACAATGAAGATGAAGGAAGCACGGGTGTTTGAAAGTGATGTCTGGTTGAGAGGCAGAAAAGGTGATGAATCAGAGAAAGAGTTGACAGAATAGGATATGCCCAACTCTCACAAGAGGAGAGAGAAAAAGGGAAACTCCTTAAGGGGTAATACAGAGAGGAGAAGAGGCAGTTTTACTGGGACAGTATTAGAGAGACAGTTTGCAGAGAGAACAAGCTAGACACAGAATGAGCCAGAAGATTAGAAAAGTTTGAGGCCCTGCAGAGCAATTCAGGAGCCAAGAGAAAAGTCAGATTGAAGAAGTCAGCTGGAGAAAAAATTGAGGCAGAACAGCTGAGTTGAACCAGCCAGCCCAGAGCTCAGTAGGAAAAAAGGGTGAGCTTATTAAGCAGTAAGTGTCAGAAGCTGAGAACTTTCTATGCCTCGGTTAGTACACAGGCCAGAAGCTGCCAGGACTAGGCCTAGGTTAGCAGAAGTGACAATAATCCTCCAAGACAACAATTGAACCAGGAGGATAAACCACCTTTTACAGGTGGCAGCAAAGGGGCCTCAGTTCAGTGCTTGGCACCAAACAGTACTTTAAAAAAGAAATTATTTGTATGGGTGTTTGCCCTGCATTTATGTCTGTACCACATGCTGGCAAGTACTCTAGAAGACAGAAGAGGATGTGGATCTGCGTTACAGATGGTTGTGAGCAGCCATGTGGGTGCTGGGAATCCAATCGGGGTCCTCTGCAAGAACAGCTAGTTCTCTTAGCTACTGAGTCATCTCTCTCGTCCCCAAATAAATTTTGATCAATGAGAGGTTATACTTTTAGTGCATGAGTTACTGACATGTTATTTATTAATTGCTTTGCCTATTGCTTTGTCTTCTGTCTCACTTTTTTTTTTTTTTTTCTTTTTGAGACAGGTTCTCACTTGGTAGCTCAAACTAGCCTGAAACTCACTTATTATATACCTTAGGTTTAGTCAGTCTCGAGCATTGCCTTTGTCTCAGTCTCTGAAGTCTTGTTTTCAAGTGTAAGGCATATGGCTAGCTGCGTATCCTCTGGAGGATGCTCTGGAGGAGCTCTGACTACCAGTCTCTTGTCCTGCTTTCCTGTTAACATTGTCATACGGAAGCCATACAGCAGATATCTGAGTCGTATACTGTGGTGTGCTTTGAGTACGGCACTGTCACTCCATGTCCTCAAGAGTCTGTGGCCTCAGGATGCAGAGGTGGAGCGGCTGGACGTGCTTGTTGCTCTTGCTAACCCACATTCAGTTCCCAGCATCCACATGGTGACTCATAACTGTCTTAACTTCTATTCCAGGCGCTCTGACATCCTCTGTGGGTGAGCATACAAAGAACACTCATACACATAAAATCAGAATAAATAGCTAAGAAACAAAAACAAATCAAGCAAACAAACAAACAAACAAACAAACAAAATCTTTGGTCTAACAATGTAGTGTGAGAGTTAGCAGATTTGCATAAATGGCCAGGAACATGTTTTAGGCTTTCTGAGCTAAACAGTCTCAACTCTGCCATTGCGCCCCAGAGTAGCCAGAAACTGTGTAAGTAAATGATTGTGGTTGTGTTACAGACACCTGCAGGATCCACTTGCCAGTTCCTGGCCGAGTGGACCTGTTTCTTACTCTGCTGGCAGACCCACAGCAGCAATTTCCTTTGAGATTTCCATTGTTGAGACTGTAAAATACACAGATCATGTGGTTCAATTAAAAAAAGAATAACTGAGCCTTGTTTTTAATTCTTGTTTTCCTCTTTTCCCCAGGACATTTTATTTCCGTACATCAGAGAAAACGTTAAGGAGCACCTGCAGACACACTGGGACGAGGAGGAGTGTCGGCAGGATGTCAGCCTGCTGAGGAAGCAGGTGAGGGCCGCCTCTTGCAAGGCTCTCCCAGTGTCTTAGAACACAGGTGCCTGGGCCTTGCAGTCAGTGCCCTGGATTCTTGTAGACACTGCACTGACTTGCCTGCCTAGGAATTCACAGCATGTAATAAGACAAGTCAGAGCAATTTGTGTCTGCAGAATTGCCGCTTTCAGCGACTATTTGGATTGCACAAAAGCCCGTGTGTTTGTGAAATTAAGCCTTTCTGGTGGAATACAAAAGGGTTCTGTGCAGTCTCATCGCATTTCATTAATGTCACCAGGTGACGGCTCTTGTCATTTGCTACCCTCCCACCTCATGGCACGAAACTACCCCCTTTACATTTACAGAGCTCACCCTGCCAGACTCGTCAACCAGTTTTCCCTTGGCGACTGGGCTTCAGACTGCTCTCTGCTGCTCTTCCGCCAGTCTGCATTCTTTCTTCTTCCTTATGGTGTGCTGTGAGACCTGCCTTCAGGGCAGAGGTTCTTACCAGCAGCGCTCCTGCCTGGGTTGTAGAGGTTGTCCACAGGTCCTCTACTTAGGGTGAGAGGTTAGGGTTAGAAATAGTAGTGACGCCCTTTGAATCATGCAGTGTTTGAGCTCGCTGGGTTTTCTGGGTAACTTGAGGTTATCTTTTTATTGTCTCTACACAGGTTCCATACATACATATTTTCTCATGTTCAGACAATGCATTGCATTGCTACAAAGTCCTTATAAACGAATTGTTTTTAATTTTTATGTATTTGTTTTAATGTGTGTGTGTGTGTGTGTGTGTGTGTGTGTGTGTGTGTGTGTGTATTTACACATGGGCTGTGGTGTGTTTGTGCTGGTCAGAGCACAATCGAGAAAGTAATTTTTTTTCCTTTTGATCATGTGTGTGCCAGAGATTGAGCTCGGGTCATTAGGCTTGGTGGCAAGTGTTTTTTTTACCTGCTGCTCCTTTGGCCACATTGCTTCCTTAAGAATAGTTTTTAGCAGTTCTCAGGGTAATTGATAGTTGGAGAAAACTGATCTGCCTGGTTTTGCTTTATCTCTCTTTTAAACACATGCATGCATGGGTGTATGTGTGCATGCGAGCATTTGTGTATAATACTTTTCAAGGGCATGTGAATAATCTCGCTTTGTCTCTGATTAAAGGCTGAAGAAGATGCACACCTGGATGGGGCTGTCCCCATCCCCGTGGCGTCTGGGGACACGGTGGAGGATCTGCAGCGGACGATCCAGGCTGTGGTAGATAATGTGTTCTGGCAGATGTCTCATGACCGCAAGACCACAGCGCTCAAACAGCTGCAGGGCCACATGTGGAAGGCGGCGTTCACAGCTGGCCGCGTGAAGGCAGAGTACGTGCTGTAATGAGAAAACATTTCACAGGCCCCAAGTCCACACACACCGGAGCTGTTCTTCTCTCCCGTTAGCTGCTTGTAGTTAGTAAAAATTGTTAAGGTTGCCAGGCACAGGTGTGCACAGCTTGAATCGTAGCGCTTAGAGAGACAGGCAGATCTCTTGAGTTCCAGGGAAGCCAAGCTTACCTGGAGACCTTGTCTCAAAAAACAAGATAAGATCAGGTTTTTGTTTTGTTTTCTTTTTAAAGAAAATGAGTTGTTGAGTTTTCTTTTCATAAGCATGTTCCTCAGCTTGGTCCCCGAGATCTGCATACGGCCTTTAGGGGGGTGGAAGACTGCTAGTTGTAGTTAAAACAGCTTCGTAGGGAGGCAGCTTCAGCCTGTGTGGTGTCGTACGTCTGTGACAGCGGCACTTAGGGGCTGGGCTTCCCTGAGCAGTGCCGCTGTCACACAGTGCCAACCCTGTGGGTCTGCGTCTCACAGCCATCCGGCTGCAGAGAAGGCTCAGCTGATGAGAGCACTTGATGCTCCTGCAGAAGGGCCAGGTTTGATTTCTAGCACCCATAAAGGCATTCTTAGGAGACCCAGTGTCCTCCTCTGACGTTGGCCACTGGTCACGCACATGCTGCACATATATACATACATGCAAAACACTCATACACATAACATTATAAAGTGAATAAAAGCAGAGAAGGAGAGGCAGTGCTGTGAAACCATGCTCCTGCTGTTTTTGAGGTTGCCCAGCATTGTGACTTTCCCTCTGCTCTGAGTCTCCGCCATGGGGATTCTGGTAGTGAATGCCTCCACTGACAACCTGACTTCAAGCCCTACGATCCACATTGTGGAAGGAGATAAACGCTTCCGCAATTTGACCTCTGACTTTGAGATGTGTGCTGTGCCATGTGCCTGTGTGTTTGCGAGTGTGTGGATGCACTATGTGCTCATGCACATACGTACATACATCCGGACACACAGACACAGCAGATGTAAAAATGTTTTAAAGATAGGGTCTCATGCATGTTCCAGGCTGGCCTGGACCTTGCAGTGTAGCTCAGCATGGCTTTATGGGAATTTCCCATGTCAGCCTTTTCAGTGCTGGAATTTATAGATGTGTTTCTACACCTAGATGACCTTAGAGATTCTTTTTTTTTTTTTTTTTAAAAGGATTTTACTCAGTTGCCTTATATAAATCCTCATATTCACGGCCATTTTCAGATGCTTGTGTTTCTTTTGTATTTCATGTATTTTGTTAAATGAGATGTCATTTAAAAAAATGTTGCTGTAAGGATCTGCCTTTTAAAGGAAGCATTGGAATTTCAGGATATGCCCTCACATATATGCAAGAAGTGCTGGTACAGATAGCAGAACACTAAGCTAAAATAAATGTTTGAAAAATGGGGAAGAAAGCCTTTTCATGTTTCTCAAAGCATGATGAAGGTAAATTTTAGTCTTAAATTACCTCAGTTCAGTAATAATAACACAGTATGTTTATGTTATTTTTATTTTAGCTTCTTGAGAGTTAAACATGTTTACTTTCTTAGATTTGTTTATTTCATTTGTATAAGTCTTTTATCTGCATGTATGTAACTATACCACATACTTGCCTGGTACCCATGGAGATCAGAAGAGGGCATTGGGTTTCCTGGAACGGAGCTACAGGCAGTTGTGAGCTGCTCTGTGGGTGCTGGGAACAGAGCCAGGTCCCCTGAAAGAGCACACTAGGTGCCCTTAACTCAGAGCCATCTCTCCATCCACAAGTCACTTTGTTTGTTTATTATTTATCTATTTATTACTTCTACAACATTCTGCCTGTGCACCCAGATCTCACTATAGATGGTTGTGAGCTACCATGTGGTTGCTAGGAATTGAACTCTGGACCTTTGTGAGAACAGCCAGTGTTCTTAACCTCTGAGCCACCTCTCCAGCTCACCAGTCACTTGTTATTTCATCCATCCATTCATGCTTTTTATGGTCAAATACTATTCTCTCCACCAAACTTGTTGCGTCTAATCTGTGATGCTGGAAGTCCAGTGACCTGTTTATTAGGACCACAGGGATTGCCTGTCTCATGGAGTTGCTTCCCAGGTTTTCATTCGAGCCAAGGCAGAGAAGTATGTGGCGTCTATGCATTTTCTGAATTTCATCTGGCTTGATGATGTTTCTGCTTTGTAACTTGCTGCATTTCCCTTCAGGTTCTTTGCAGATGTGGTCCCAGCAGTCAGAAGGTGGAGAGAGGCTGGAATGAAGGTGTATATCTATTCTTCAGGGAGCGTGGAGGCACAGAAGCTGCTCTTTGGGCACTCCACGGAGGGAGACATTCTCGAGGTAGGTTACTTGGTGTACTTCGTGGTTTGCTATTGCTGTGATAAGTACTATGACCAAACGCAGGTTGGAGGATTATGTGGCTTACACTTCCCTGTCAAGTCATTTGGGGAAGTCAGGGCAGGAACTCAAGCAGGAACCTAGAGGCAGGAACTGATGCAGAGACCACAGAAGAGGGCTGCTTTATTGGCTTACACTTTGTGGCTTGCTCAGTCTCCTTTTTTATGCTACCCAGGGGCCACCTGCCTAAGGGTGGCACCACCCTCCTTACTCATTAATCAAGAAAATGCCCCACATGTATGCCGGGGGCTAGTCTGATATACAGTTCCTCAACTGAGGTTTTTTTCTTCAGTGATAACCGGTTTGTGTCAAATTGACAAAAACTAACCAGCACACTTGGGTTACTTTGTTTTGATACTACCAAAGCATGAAGTCTTGAATAGTAAAAGACATCTCCTAAATAAGCTAAGTTAATATCCAGACGGTAGTACTCACTGTTGTACAAAGATGTGGAGAAACTTAAGGGTACCTCATATAGAGGGTGAATGGCCTGAGCCAGCAGGTCTTTCTTCAGTGTCCGCTTCCTGCAAGAGAGATGACCAGGGGATGAGAAGATGAAGATAGGAATGTTTGCTTACACAAGCTGTTGGCTCATGCAAAACAAGTTTATTAAGTACAGCATCTTACGCACAGCTTGCAGGGGGGAAACAGGACACACTTAGCAGGAAGCTAGCCAAGCAGTATTGCATAAGGGGATCATGGGCTATCTCAAGTATGCCACAGACCAAGCCTTGGGACTGAGAGCTGATAACTCTTCAGGGTGAAAAGCCAAGTTCTCAGGAACAGAAATCATAACTCCTTGGAGGCCCTGTCCTCAGCCCCAGAGTGACCTTGCGAAGACAGAACCAGGTTCCTTTTGTTCTTTCATCGGGACCTCTGAGAAACCTGGCTTTGCCTGGCTTTCAACAGGTGATGTGTTTTGTGTAGTTCCAGTTTTAAATTTTTAAATTGGAAGTCTTAAGTCTTTCTTGTGCTTGAAGATCAGGCTAAGTTTGTTTAAAATTCGGGTTCTGAGGCATTGGCTCATTTGGTAAAGTGCTTGCTGTGTAAGCCTGAGCACCTGAGTCTGACTCCCAGTGCTCACGTACAAGCCAAGCTTAACAGCACGTGCTTCTCATCCCAGCAGTGGGGGTGGGGTCGGGGGCGAGACAGCAAACAGGAAGACCATCTGAGCTTGCTGGCCAGTCTTGACAAATCGGTGAGCTCCAGGATCGGGGAGAGACCAGGTCTCAGAAGATAAGGTGGAAGGGTTGGCAGGTGGGGTGCATGGGCAAAGGCGCTCCCCTCCAAGCTTGCTGAGCTGAGTAAGTGGAGGGTGACGGAGGAGTGCCTGTAGCTGTTCCCTCAGACACAGCCACACACACCTGCACACACAATCACAAAATGTAGTTTCCCAGCCATGTGTGTTGGAGCACCGGCAGTACAGACCTTGGGAGGTTAAGGCAGCAGGGTCACTGTTTCAAGGGCAGCCATGTATCAACCATTGAACTGTGAAAAGCAGTGCCCTGTGTCCTAGGAAGTTTGAGTTGTCAGTAGAGGTCAAGAGGACATTAAATATCCACCCTAAGTAATTCTGGTAAGGCTCGCACTAAAACCAGATACTCTGTGTGTGTGTGTGTGTGTGTGTGTGTGTGTGTATGTGTGTGTATGTGTGTATCGATTGACATGCTGACTCAGACCAGAAAGTACATGTACTATTTTGCTAATACAAAAAATCAACAAATCAAGAGATTCCTCCCCTCCCCAGCAGGGCTGACTGAACAATTAGTTTGGTCACTAACTAACTTTTCTGCAGGGAGTTGGAACCCAGGGCTTCGTGCAATACTAGGAAAGTGCGTTGCCACTTAGCGACACTCCTGTCTCTGTAATGAGTATTTTCTGGGCCCACATTGGGTTTCTAGGGAACATTTTGGTTTTGGATAGTGCCGTTCGTATTCTAATTTTAGTATATATTCTTTTTGTCTTCCGTAGCAGATATCAAACCAGTAATGAGATCCTTTAATCAGTGATGGCTATTTTCTAGATACAGACGAAAACTTTCTGCTAGCGAGACACACAGTAAGGTCAGTCAAGATACATTGGACATGGCAATTGCCTTACTGATTTCATTTTCCAGATACCAAGTGTGGCAAATAGAAGTATGTAAAATCAGTCTCAACTTTTTTAATAGTTAAAAAAACCAACCAACCAGCCAACCTGGGGGCTTGTGAGATGGCTCAGCAGGCAAGCCTGATGACCCAAGTTCAATTCCTGGAGCCCACTTAAAAAAAGTCAGGCATGGCAGCACGTCTTTCGTCCCCACACTTTCACTGGGAGATAGGAGGTGGAGAAGCTAGCCTAGACTACACAGTGTAGCAGAAACTACATGAAAGATTCCACCTCAACAAATCACAAACTTCAAACCCAATACTGCCTTTTTGTCTTTGGTCGTTAAACTTGTTTTTAGTTAGAGAAAGACATCCAGTCAGTCATAGCTGAATCTATATGAACTTACTTTAATTACTGTTGGTTCTATAAAGTACTCCAGTAGATATATTTCCATGAATATTTATGGAATAAAGTCCCTGTGATTGGCATGCGTTTCAGAGGAAGGCCTGCAGGGTGAACAGACGCAGTGGATTGTAAGTGTATTTGTACTGAATGCCCCTTTCCATTCTCCTTGTTCAGCTTATTGATGGCCACTTTGATACCAAGATTGGACACAAAGTGGAGAGCGAGAGTTATCGAAAGATTGCAGATAGCATTGGCTGTTCAACCAACAACATCTTGTTTCTCACAGACGTCACTTTAGGTGAGTAATTGCCTGGTTGCTTGTTTCTTGCTGTCATTGTGGCACAGTACTGAGCGAAGGAGGATGGTTTTCGCTTTCAGTTTAGAGGATGCAGCCATCGTGGTGGGGAGTGGTGTGGTCCCTGGCGTGGCTCTGCCTCTCACATAGTCACACCTGGGCTATAGCTCTCTGCTGGCCTACACTGGAGGTTCCACAACCTCCTCATCCTTAGCCACACCTGATGGAGACTGGCGAGATTCCTGAGCCCGTGGGGGACAGTGTAGAATCACACCTTAGAAGTTCTCTTAATTGGATGTCTGCTTCACCCCTCCAAGGGAACATCATGGAAGGGATAGGGGCTGGGGAGATAGCTCAGTGGGTAGGAGCACTTACTGTACGACCATGAGAAGCTAAGTTCAAATCCCCAGCACCCACATAACAGTGTAGCTGCATCTACCTGACACCCTAGCCTCGGTGAAGAGAAGCGTGTTCTAGGAGCTTGCTGGCCCGCCAGCCTAACCCAAACGAGTTCTAGTTCAGTGAGAGACTTTTTCAAGACATTAAGGCCAAGATGATTTGAGTATGATAAAAATTATTATGCATGTACAAACCACCGCAATGATACCTGTCTCCATGTGTAATTAATGTATAGCAATAAGGAGAAAAGTTTGCTTTCAGTCCTTGGAGCTTGGTAGAAATTTGTAATCTGGACAGATAGGACCATTCACAGAGGCTTGTCGCCCCCGGGGTTGGAGTGAGGGCCAGGCCCTCTCCTGCGTGTCTGGCTGGGCTGAGCTTCTATAAACTGCTTATATTCTTCCGTTTCTGAGAAAGGGTTTCTTTTACATACCCGATTGCACTGGAGGAGAAACAGATGGGCAGAACAAGCCGAGGCTTATTTTATTCTTTAAGGATGTGTTTATTTTTATTTTATGTTCATGGATGATTCGGCTGCCATGTGTCTATATGCCATGTGCATGCTCAGTGCCTGTGGAAGCCAGATGAGATTGTTAGATCCTCTGGACCTGGAGTTTCATGTGGTTGTCAATTGCCATGTGGGTGCTGGGAATTGAAGCTGCGTCCTCTAGAAAACAGCCAGTGCTCTTAACTACTGAGCCATTTCTCCAGCCCAAGGCTTGCTTTATAACAGATAGCCAGACCATATGAAATCATTAGTCATGCCACCCATACTCTATTCTGTGTTAAGAAGAAAAGGGTCATCCGTGTCTCAGGAATGACACTCAAGATTGTCCTCTTGTCACCATGGGAGTACATGCACAATACAAGTCTTAACACATATGCACATATCATAATTCTAACTCTTACTCATTTGTACATTTGTACACTTTTTATGGAAGTGGGGACACACGTGCTATTGTACATAGAAAACAGTAGACAATGTGTGTGAGGTGGAGATGGGAGGTGTGAGTTCCCTCTTACTGTGGGTTTGGAGAATGGAGTTCGTGTCATCAGATTTCCAGCTGAGCTAGCTCACTGGCCCACAATTTCTCTAAGACTACTTTGGCTTTCTTCATATTTTTGTCTTTAGATACCTTTATATATACCCTGTGTATACCTGCAGTTTCAAGTCTTTCTTGTTTAATTTAAGCCAATCCCAAGGGCTGAAGTTGTAGAAATTAATTTCTAACTTGAGTAAGAGGAGATGTATACAGTCTGAGGAAATCAGAGTATATATTCCCATATTTTTGTATGTTGTTGTTTTGAGAGAGGCTCTGTCATTTGCTTCTGCCTTCCAAATGCTGGGATTAAAGGCATGGACTATAAACCATATCTGGCTATAGTCACAACATCTAAGAATAGGATAAGTTAGCCTTAAATGAAATCAGCTTCATCTAGAAGTCCCATAAGAGCCCTCCCCTCTACCCCCTTGCAGCTTCATCATTTAGTCAGGAGGAATGGAACATGGATGCTCTGTAGCTGGGCTAGAAGAGGTAGAGGTTGCTTGCTCTGCTCCTCAGTCATCTCTGGTCCTGAGGCTTTTTGTACCGCACAGCCATCCCTTCACTTGAAGGCAGGGCAGAAACCCAAGCTGCTACACCAAACGATTCCAGAGTGTTGAAAGAGGAAAGTAAAAGGCTCTTTTGGAATTGTAGCATGTGGTGTCTGTGGAGCACACTGGAGTACTTGGGGCCTAAATCAAGGGTTGGCAAGCTTTTCCTCTAAAGACCAGATAGTAATGGGATAGCTTCAGTCCTCAGTCCCTGTTGAAGCCCTGTCTGTGTTCACAGTGCAGCAGCAGCCACAGACTATGCAAACGAACAGGCCTAGTGGTGCGCCAAACAACTTTACAAAAGTGGCATGCTTGGTTTGCCAGCTTTCATTTTAGAGCATTGGGTATTGTGTCAGGCTGACAGTTGAGAGTTTTAGGCCTACTGCTTGCTTAGCTGTTTCCATATCTGTAGACTGAGGCAGGAGATGATGCCGGTGAGATAATGATGGTGAGAATCGGAGCAATGTGAAGGTGAGTGTCCACATGCCTCTTGTCCAAGAATGCTTCCTAGCACACAGTAGATGCGTTCAAAGATGGTACTAGCCGTTTTTTCAAATAAAATTACAATGGAGAGATGGCTGTAACCCAAGGGGATAGCTCCTGTAATCGCCAGCCTACCTGATTTAATGAGACTGGCCTTGTTTTCAGTCCGTTCCATCCAGCCCAGCCCAGTCACTGATCATGAGGGGCCCACAGCCTAAGGAGGTGTGAACAGTAATAAAGAGCATTGTGTGGCAGCTAAGAACTGTGTCAGGAACACACGGCTGCTCTAATAGAGGGCTGGCGCTGCATGTTTGGAGTGGAATTTTGAACAGCAAAAAAGATGTGAGTCTAGGCAGGAGCCTCACATGTTCGGGCCTGAGGTGAGAGTGTATACGTCAGCTGGGTTAGATCATGGGCCTCCTTTGCTCTACTCTACTCAACAGTTGGTGTTATACCCTACAGCCTGCCCTTCGAGAAACAACTCCACCCTCTGGGGCTAATTTGCGGGAATGGGCAAAGGGCGTGGGCCAGAGTGGGCCTGAGCTGCACTCGTCGGTAGCTCTAATTACAGCACAGTATATGACAGGTTGTGTTTTCTGCCCGCCACACACAGTCAAGGGCTTCCTAGCATAGAATTTATATATATAAAGAAAAATAGAACCTTTCTCACTGTGCCTGTCTTTTAGCTGCAACAAAAGCCAGGCCAAACTCACTCCTTGTGCTCTCTTTCTCTATTGACTTAGCTGTCACCTCAGGCGTCAGGTGTTGGTGTGTCTCACCTGTACTTTGATTTTTCCAGAGGCCAGTGCTGCTGAGGAAGCAGATGTGCACGTGGCTGTGGTGGTGAGACCTGGGAATGCAGGATTAACAGATGACGAGAAAACATACTACAACCTCATCACGTCCTTCAGCGAGCTCTACCTGCCATCAACATAGAGCAGCTTCTGAGGAAGACTAACAGTTTCCCCAGTGTCCGGCTTTATCTAATTGTAAAAGTAGCTTACTTACGTGCACACAGAGACACATGCAAGTGTATATACATGTACCTGTGCTCAAAGATTAATTTCCGTGGGCAAATATGTGAGTAAAGTTGTCAGTTCCATGAGGACCAAGTTCATGTAAAGATGCTTTATATATAGACCATAAATCTAAGTCTTACCGAAGCCAGGGTGTATATGATAGAAGAAACCGCAAAAGTACAAATCAAACGTGTGATGCTTATCAAATTGTTTACCAAAATAGAAAGCTAGTTTTGAGAAATTATTATCCAGAGACCTTGTTATTTTAAAAGCCAGAAGCGCCTCAAGGGCATGTGTAAGAGGAGCCTACTGTCCCTGTCCCATGAGTGAGGGTCCTAACTGCTGCACAAGACTGCGCATCAAGCAGAGCTGGGGAAGGTGGTTCTCATCAGTCAGGTATGTGCCGGCGTTCACCTGTTCACGGCAGGTGCCTGGCTCCTCGAACCCTGCCAACGCCAGCGCCGCTCTGTAGTTACCTTTTCATGTCTTAGCGCAGTTTCAGAATATGACTATTTTAAAAAATGTTTTATTGAAACCAGCGTAACACTGCAAGAATTCTAGTGTGTAATAATTCCTCTGAAATGGATGTGAAGATGTAAGTTTTATAACAGCATTGTTTATCCTGATGCCATTCTAACAGGATTTCATGTCAGTTTCATGTATTTAATTAATAAAAGCATTTCTTCTTTCAGTTTCATATAGATTGTGGTTTGCACCTCATATTGTCAGAAGCAAAAAGGAAGGTGAGGCTGGAACAGCTGAACATTTGACCTTTGTTTAGTTTTTGCATAGAGTGTGTTATATGCTTGTCTGTTTAACAGAATGTAAGTGAACATCATTTCTTGGCTTCAAGTTGTATTTGAGTGTTGCTAATTCAGACAGCAAGCATTCAGTGTATGACTGAAGTTTCTTGGAATTTTGATCACCATGGTTTTTCACCCCACATTTTAATTGGTGTGTGAGTGTGTGTATGTGGGTATGAAAGGCACACACAGTTTCTGTAGGTAGGTAGGAGGTTTGTGATAGTTGTTTCTCTCCTACTATCTGGGACCTGGGGTCAAACGCAGGTCCTGGTGGCAGGAGTCTTTATCCACTGAGCAATCTCTCTTTTTCTGTCTTTTGAGACAGGGTTTCTCTGTGTAGCCCTGGCAGTCTTGGAACTTGCTCTATAGACCAGGATGACCTTAAGAGATCTGCCTGCCTCTGTCCCCTGAGTGCTGGGATTACAATTGACCACCACCATCTCATTTTTTTTTTTTTTAAACTATATAAGAAAATACTCGAAGGAAACAGTTATGTTCCTAATTAATCAAGAAAATCGTGGAGGAATAATTTGGGGGATGTATTGAATAAAGGAAAAAGTCTTGCAAACAGGAGGAGGAGGGGTTAGAAAAGAATGTTATGTTGATGATTCAGATTTTTCATCAGACTAGACAATAGAATCAGATTCATCTAAGTCATAGGAATGGGAATAATTTGTAAATGGTAAAATCACAAACTAGTGAAAGGATTAATTTCATATATGTATTTGTAGGTAAGTTCACGGGCAGATGGTAGAAGAGATGATCCTTTAAAGAGAAAGCCGGGTGTGGTGGCACACACCCGTGTCACCCCCTGTAATCCCAGCCTTGGAAGAAAGCCTATGATCCCAGCGGAGGTAGGAGATAGAGCCTCTGAGTTCCCAGCCAGCCTGTCTGCCTATGCAGGAGTTCTGGAAGCCCGCTGGCTTCTTACAGTCAGAGGAGTGTGCAGAAGTCATCTGGGACATTCAAACAAACAAACAAACAAACAACCCAACCAACAAAACAAAAAACCACAAAAACATTTCTACGGGGCTAGAGATGATGGCTCAGTGGTTAGGAGCGCTGGCTGCCTTCAGAGAGGACTAGTGTTTCATTCCCAGCTCTCACATGGTGGGTGGCTTGCAGCCATCTAACTCCAGTCCCAGGGGTCTGATGCCTCTCTCTGTACCAGGCATGCATGTGGTCCACAGACACAGATGCATCCAGAACACACACACATGTATAATAAAGTTAAAATTTCCCTCCCAGGTCTCTTGTTTATGGAGAGGGCGGGGACGAGGTGCTCTGGAAAAGGTCACTTTTTATGCCCGTGTCAAGCCAGATATGTTTTGGTTGTTCTTCCTCAGTAGCACTGACTTCCAAGTTACTGTTTTCCGGAGGGAAATCTCCAAAGCTGATTCTCTAATCTGTAATTCTGGAGCAGAGAGGCTTGCTTTTCAGGCTGGCCTTAGTTGCTGAGTGTGACTGAGGTTTATAGTGTGACTGAAGGTGGACAGCAGGCTCTTAAACGCCAGCATAGGTGCAGAACAGGCTTTGCCCAGCAGGTGGTGCTGTTTCCCCACAGACCTTGTCAAAATAAGGTTTCCCTGCAGATGGAACAGGGAGGGAGAGGGCAGATGGATAAACAGTTAGTTCATTTACCTTTAAGAGCCAGTAGTGTGCTATTGCAAGAGCAGAGTAGTTGAGCAAACTTGATAATAATGCCAACCACAACCCACATAGTAATTCTTTTTCTCTCTCATTTCTAACATGGTTTAAAAAAATATTATACACACACACACACACACACACACACACACACATTTTTGGGTAGACAAGTTCTAGCCACAGTGTTTAAAGGTGCTTGTTTTCAGATACTTTTTCATTCCTATCAAAGAAAAAAATATTAAATATACTATGTCTCATAACAGTTTGCTGTTTTTGCCAGTTGTGCCTTGATGTCAAAATTATAGTATCTTCAGTAAAATTTGACAATAATGCATAGAGCCTGGCCTGGTGGCTTACATCTATAATCCCTGACATTAGAGGCCAGCCTGGTTTACATAGGGAGTTCCAGGTAGTAGCCTAGGCTACACTGACTGACTTTGTCTCAAAACAAAAACCCCACAGTTCTTGCTAATAGAACAATAACCCTTGAGTTTCATTCGGATTTCTTCTGTCGAGATGTGAGTCCTGAGTTTGATGTGAGAGACACATTCTTTGTACTGGCAGAATGCACATGGAGGTGTTAGAAAACTAAACAAAGACAACACAAAATAGGTCATGGGGCTGCAGCTTGTAATCTAGGTTTAAAAGGAGGAGAGAATGTTGTATACAGATGAGAGATTTAGCCATGAGTGTCCACCAGGGAATCGGGAGCCCGCTGGCTGCCTACAGTCAGAGAGGTGTGTGCAGAAGTCGTCTGGGTCTTAGGGACCCAGTAAAACATTTAGACTGTGATCTAAATGTGGGATGAAGCTACAGGAGACTTCTGAACAGAAGATACTAGTGACTAAGGTTTTAAGAAACTGTTTGATGGAGAGTGGATTGGGCTGGTAGGACCTGTGCATGGAGAGTTGGAAACAGAAAACAGGTTTTTTAAAAATGGTTCAGTATTTATACATAGGTGTGTGTGCCATCGTGTGTTTGTGGTGGAGGCCAGAAGACGGCATCAGCTTCTCCAGACATTTGCAGTTTAGTGACTACGTTCGCCCACTCCAACAGCAATAGAAAGATTGCCTCTCTTCTCCTTGTAAGATTGCACTGCCACATTTCATTGAATAATCCCACCCCAGAACCACACGCAATCTGTCTGGGGAATGTTTTTAATTTTCCAACTCCTCTAATTGCTCTGTCTGCTGGATCCAAGACCAAAGACTATTGTAACAGAGGGCTAGCAGTGGCTGGCTTTGGAGTGCTAACAGCAGAAATAGACGTGGACACATTAAGGATGTTTTAGAGGTGTTGATAACCACATTTGGTTAACAGGACTTAAAAGGGCAACTCCTAGATTTTAGCCTGAGTAACTGGCTAGACGCTGCTGCTGCTGGATAAACAATGGCTTGATGTGGAAAGATGGAGAAGGGATACAGAAGCAACCAAAAGCAGTGGGATACAAGCCCAGAACCTGAGGCTCTGGCCTGACTGCAGAGCAGATTGAGATTGAGAGGTGATTGCATAGAGATGCTGTTAAAACATGGAGTTTTGGTGATGGGAAGCCCTATTGATGGAGAAGAGCCAGAGAGCCCTCAGGTTTCAACATTTGAGATCAAGCCATGGAAGGAAGCAAGCCAAGAAGAAGACGAAGAGAGTATGTCCAAGTCCCAGTACTAATTTAACTGAGGGTTTACTTTCATTTTAATCTCTCCCTTTCTGAATAAGGTTGCATTCTGTGTTACTAGCAATTAGACTTTCATTGTATTTGGGAGAGGTTAGGGAGGGGGACATGTAAATCCTTATCAGCCACACACACACACACACACACACACACACACACACACACACACACAC